CCAACAGAGACCATCAAATATCTGAGAAACAACATTAAAATGGTTTGGGGTCATTTTCGTGTTAAAATCGCCCTCTGGCGACTAAACGGTTAGAGAAAGAGCCAAACGGACAAAATTTTGGCCCTACGGGCTCTACTTTGACGCGGTACACCTTAGAAAGATGTAACAAAAATAAAAAATTAGAAGTAATATTTTGGGGTTTGCGTTTTTGATTTTTTTTGACAGGTCAATTTTCAAGCTAGAGGGCTCAAAATCAATACCGTTCTTGCTTTTTATGCTACAAAGCTACGCTTAAAATTTCAGGTACCTAGCTTAACCCGTTCTCGAGTTATCGTGTTTACAGACAAACAGACAGACAGACGGACAGACACACAGACAGACAGACACGAAACTTTTTGATCATCACTGGAGTAATAGGCTTCGCTATCGCTCAGCCAATAATTTTGAGCCCTCTTAATTATTGCAAGTCCCGTGACGGGCGCCGACCGTGCTGCCACCTGCTATATCCAGTTAAGAATTGGCCGTTTCCACGCTTAGCGCAACGCGAGCGCGCGCTCACGCCGGCGTGAGGCGGGCGACAAGCAGGGTGCGGGGAGGCAGCGGCCACAGCGGCGGAAAAACTGCTAACCCTCTTCGGCCCCCCGCTGAGCGTGCAAACGGCAAAATTCTTAACTGGATATAGCAACCTCGGTCTGCCGTAAAGTTAGCGACGCAGCTGCGGATTTTTGGCCAAAACTTCGATTTCGTTCACTGACTTCAGGTTACATCTAAAGTGAACAAGCTCGAAGTTTTGGCCAAAAATCCGCAGCTGCGGGGGGGGGGGGAGTGAAAAAATCGGATCGGATTTTCGTTTGTTTTTTTCGACTTTTTGGACCTTGGTACAAAATGTACCTGGGCAGGTTTTGCCCCGGGATGCCCTAGAATCCACGTAGGATTTTTTTTAAAAGCAAGGCCTGCAAACCTGAGAATTCCCTCATTTTGAACAAATGTTGTTAAATCGCCCTACACGTCCGCGCGCGCCACGCCAGTTTGAATCCCGCGCGGCAGGCGCCTCGGCGGGAGGGGGGGGGAAGCACGCCAGAGCCACGGAAGGCATAGCTTGGGTGGGGGAAGGCAGACCTTGGGCACACGCTCGTGGGAGGGGAGGTCGGGGAGTAGGGGCTTCGGATCTCTCGCCTCGCATCCGCACTGACTCTACACTCCGTGCTAGGCTTGTTTTGGCCGCCGACATTGGCAAATAATTATCATTGTATTGTCTGACGATTATAATAAACAAGTACTATGAGTTCTTCACGACCTTCGCGACCGCGATCTCGCTCTAGTCACCGCCCCAAAAAGAAACACGGGCCTGACAAGCAACAAAAGAAGAGAGAAACGGAACGCTCGCCGGCTTTTAATAGACGTGATAGGTTAGGTTTTCGAGTAACTAACGTGTGATTTTCCAATGACAGATGCCCTTGGCAGTGCGCGTTGCAAAACTGGATGAGGAACGCAGCTCAAGAAGTAGATCTCGAAGCTCACAGCGCCCATCTAGTGCTTCCAGGCGGAAAGTTTCTCTAGAACCAGCAGAGGTTCCTGGTCGGGCTTCAGAGTCATTGATCGGGATCAGTTTGTGAAAGAACTTGTGCCTGCAAAAAGTGTAGGAGAGACGTGACAGTCGCAGAGGCCAAAGTGTGTGGCTTTAGCTCAGTGTTTGAACTTAGTTGTCAGAAGTGTGGTGTTATCAAGTCTTTCAGAAACTGTGAAAATGTTGGGAATGAAGTGAATGTTGTAGCAGAAGCTAACAGAAGAGCAGTGTTTGCCACCCGCAGCTTGGACTCATTCGTCCAAGCCCGCAGTGTTGGTATTGGACATGAAGGATTGAAGACAGTGTGTGCTCTTAAATGCCACCTGGGCTCTTTGACACTTTGTTATTGCCACTTACTTGCCCCTCAATTGCCACTTTGTCTCTTAATTTTTTTTCCAAGGGCTAGTTTCACCGGCAGTGCTTCGATAGAAAGAATTGCACATTTCCAGGGCAACTCCGGAGTATTCCATTGCTCGTTTTTACCTTGCGGCTGATGGGCTGATGCAACGGTGTCCGAGCTGCGACGCGCCTCTGACGGCCCGCTCAAAGCGACTGGCTAGCGATCAGCGATCGTGATCGTGTCGGGACTTGAGCCCGAATCACACTAGCGGTTCTCGGGGCGGTTGGCGGGTGCGGGTGCGGTTGTCGTCTCGACCAATGAGAGCGCAGCGCCCGGCGGGTGCGGGTGCGGTTGAAGGAATAGCCGGCAGTCTATTTTTTCATCCGCCAACCGCAGCCAATGAGAAGGGCAGAATTCGTCAACTGACCTGCATATACAGATTCTGTGACCAAAACTCGGGTACACGAAAGTTCTTAAATACGGAACAAGGAAAAGGGCTCCTTTCGAATAAACTGCACGAATTCTTAAACTAAGCAACGCTACTGTGAAAGAAATTGGCCTAGGAATATATCTAATGAGTAACATTTGTACGCCGCGAACTCAAATCTCAATATCATTTAATTATTGTAGTCAGTATTTTTTTAAATGTGAGAAAGCAAAATGGTCGTGGGTGCATCACTTTTCAGTTTCCGGAACGAAACCGCACTGTGTTTGTGTATGAATATGAACACAAAGTCATTTTGACGTATTTGAAGGGTGGCAAAGGAGGTTATGTTGCCCAGCGGACACGGCCGCCACGGCCGAGATGCGTGGTGACGCATACGTTCCAAGCGCCAGCCGCCCGGACAACCGCCCCCCGCCCCGTGTCCGGCCCGGCCCGGTCCGCCAACGGACCCAAGGCGACGCGCGGGCCGCACGGGTGCGGGACTTCCCGCTCGCACTCATGCGGCCCCTCATCTCATAGCACCATCTCTTTCCCTCGGGGCCGGTTGGGGGCCGGTTGGAGGCCGCGGGCCACCAGTATGAGACCTCTGGCCTACGCGCCACGCCACGCCACGCCACGCTTGGCCCGCTGACGGGGGGGGGGGGCCCGCTGACACGTTCGGGTCTCGGCGAGTGGGAGTGAGCGAGCGACGGGTGACAGAGCCGAGCGGGACGGAACGAGCTGCGTTCGGGAGCGGACGCCGACCTCTGGGGTCGCACGCAGGCTGAGTGCTCGCGGCGCGAACCGCTGCCCCTTCGCAACTCCAACGCGGTGCACGGTCAAGGTCAAGCGGCCGGCTCCGCTGCTGGCGCGCCGGTCGGTGGAGCCCGATTTCCCGATTGGACCGCCCAAAACAGATCCTCATCCCCCAACGCCGCGACAACTTGTGTCGTTCGGTTTTTGGATACCGCTGATTACTACTGGTGACGTCACGCCTTGTGCCCCCCTGCACGAAGCTACAGCACAAGCAATGACACATTCGACACATCATTCCTATTATTAATTTCTGTTGTTGAAAGTGTTCAAAGTTTCAGTTACGAATGTATCATCTGCTACAGTGAGACGGACCTTAGGCTGGCGCGTGCCTATAAAAAGTTCGACCTCGATCGGACCAACTTGGTCGTCGCTGCTCGTTGGACTCACCCGAGGTGGAGGACGTGGAGTTGGAGCCGCGGCGCCGCGGGTAGAACGTCACCTCCTGCCTGCTCTTGATGCCCAGGTCCGCCGGGAAGGAGGTGATCTCGTCCTGCACGACAAACAAACACGCGTGAGATTTTACAATATTTTCCCAAGTAAAAAAGATTTTGTTTTCCTTAAATTTACTTCCGGTTTCTCCCGCTTCCGGGCCCCCAGCTCGCTTCTGCGGCCAGGTCCAGGAGAGGAGCATCCAGAAGGTGGCTCATTCCCATTCGAGTTTACAGGCGATCGCCTCGGAATATTGAGCGGCGTGGGGGCGGCG